AGGACCCTTGAGGAACACCGCGGTAGACCACCCTTCCGCACTGGAGTTCCGTTTTGTTACGGAACTCCAGTCTTCTACCCCGGAAGTAGTCCCTAATAATTGAGACCAGGTGGGGGGGGGGGCCTGAAATGGGCCAGACCCGCCTCCACCTGGTCCCAAGGGAGGGAGTTGAAAACGTTGGCGATGTCCAGGGACACCGCCAACACAACTCCCCCCCTCCTCACGACGGCCTCCGAGAGGGACCGGACGCGTAAGATCGCGTCCACACTTGACCGTCCCTCCCGGAAGCCGTATTGCTCCTGGCTGAGCGTTGGACTACTCCGGGATAGGTGCCGGACGAGGCGGGCGTGTATTATTCTTTCGAATAGTTTGCCCGCCTCGTCCAATAGGCATATCGGCCTATATGCGGAAGGGCTGTCCTCCGGCTTGCCCCCTTTCCGGAAGAGGACCAGATTGGCCCTCTTCCAGGGGCTGGGGAACACCCCGGTCCTCAAACAGGAGGTGAAGAGCCGCATTGTGCGACTCTTCACCTCCACCTCCCTCAACGCCAAGGCCCACACTGTGCCTGGGATGCCGTCGGGGCCCGGCGCCCTTTTCTTGGCGCCGAGCCTCCTGACGGCCCTGTCTATCTCCACCTCGGTGACCCCGACCGACTCCTCCTCCCCGTCCGATGGTGGGCCCTCATAGGGGGGAATGCAAGCTTCCCCCCATAGAAAGAGGGCCCCCACCACTTCGTCGAGGAAGTCGGGGTCCAGGGACGCCGTTGGAGGGGGCGCCCAATTGCGCAGACGCCTCATCACAATGTGATACGGGCGCCCCCATGAGTCCCTGTCGATGGTGGAGACCAATTCATCCCAGGCACAAGCCTTGGCCGTAAAGATGGCCGCCTTGAGAGCGCTGCGCTTTTCGCGGTACGCCCCCGCGGCGGCCATCCCACTTACACTTTCCCTACTCCGCCGGTCCATTTCACGCCTGGCTTGGCCGGCGGAGCGCCGAAGTTCGGCAATCTCCGCCGACCACCAGTACACGGACCGGCGGGGGTGCGGTCGGGATCGGGGCATGGCGGCGTCACACGCCGCTGACATTACGCCCACGAGCCCGGCCGCCTCTACCTCAATGGCGGCCCGGGTCCCCGGTGTGGAGCCCGGGTCCGCCCATGTGGCCGCTGTTAAGGCGGCCGCCAGCCTGTCGCGGTCGAGTTTCCGGAGGGCCCATTTTGGTGGTCGGGCGCCCTCCTGGCCGCGCCTCCGGAGCACCTCCTCGGGGGTGGCGACCAGTCGGACCACGATATAACGATGGTCCGAGAGGTTTTCCCCCCTGGTCACCACCCGCCAATTCTATATTAGTCGGGCCGCCTGGGGAGACGCTAGTGTGACGTCGATCACAGATCTCCCCCGCGGCCCGACGAAGGTGCTCTTCCGGCCCCTGTTTATGATACAGAGGCCGTGAGACGCGACCAATTCTTCCATAACCTCGCCCCTTCGGCACCTTGCCGAGGACCCCCACAAAGCCGATTTGGCGTTGAGGTCCCCGGCCACTAGGACCGGCCTTTGGGGGCGTTTCGACATAAGGTCCCCCAGCCGGTCCAAAAGGTGCTCGAAGTGAGCGAGGTCCCACGGTGGTGGGGCGTATACGCCGACCACGTCTGTGGCCCCCCACTCGACCGCGACGTATCCTCCCCCCTCTCCACCAGGGAGATTGGGGGGGAGGCCTCCCTTTCTTCATGATAGATCGCCACCGAGCACTTGCCACTCCGCCCCGCAACGTCACCCATTATGGCTGGGTGACTCCCGGGGACGGAGTGAGGCTCGGAGGCGATCCCTAATCCGTAACCGCGCTCGCGGAGGGACTGCATAAACAGCTCCTGGGCTCTGCGAGCGCGGTTGAGACTCACCTGGAGGAGGCGGGTAGCCATTACGGCTTAGTTCCGCTGTCCTCCAGGCCCTCCCCCATCTTCCCCGCGGGAGGGGGACCCTCGTTCGGGTTTCCCGCCTCCCGCGAGGCAACTCTCTCGGCCCCGGCCCCCCGCGGCTTTCTCCGCTCCTTAGGAGCAGCGTCCGTCGGAGGGACCGGGGTTTCAGGCAATGTAGCCCCTCCCTCTGGTTTTTGAGGGGGGGGCTCTTTCTCCTTCCCGGGGAGGGGTGGGAGGAGTGTTGGAGATTTTTCGCCTCCTCCTCCCACTCTTTCCCCCCTTGCCCCTCTTTGCCATTTGGCACGCGGGGTCTCCCATTCTGTGGCCACAGGGCCGTCCGGCGTCACGACACACCGGGCATGTCGCCGGTGCATCGCACGCCGCGGCCCTGTAGCCGGCCGAGCCGCAGTGGTAACAGAGGCCACTGCGGTCGGCCTTACTTTTACATAGGGCCCTGACGTGGCCCCACTACAGGCATTTGAAGCACTGGAGGGGGCGCTTTGTCAGGGCCTCGACGCGGACGGAGGACCACCCAACTTTGAGTCGCCCCCCGCCCGCTATCTTCCGTGCGGCCGAAAGGGGACACTGAATCCAGATTGTCCCCATTCGGTCCGCTCCGGGTCGTATTGCCTCGGCCTTGATTTCACCGGGCCCGCAACCCCCGGCGACCGCCACCGCGGAGACCACATCTTCCGCGGTGACTGAGTCGTCCAGGTCACGGACCCGGATGTCGGCCCTCTTCGAGGTACGCGCAATTTGCACGTCCCTCGTGTCGGTGAATAGGGCCGACATTCTTTTGGCCAGGGCATCCGCCCTGGCCTGCCCTTCGGGACCGGGGATCTCGAGGACCAGTGTACCAGTAGCGGCCCTCCTGGTCCTGAGATCCCCGATCCCCAACTTGCCTAAATCTATCTGGCTCCTTGCCCGCCGCATAACATCGGCGTAACTGCCCGTTGGGCAGCTCACCGTGACAGCGGCGGTACGAGGAGCTTTAGGGAGAGCGGGTTTGCTCCCGCCTCCCTCGTCCCGTGCTTTCTTCTTACCGCCCCCTTGGCCGCGGCACCCTTCTGGGGCCACGGCTTTTGGGGGGCGGATTGGGGGGCCTGCTTGCCCCTCCCTTCATTCTTCTTCTCCCTCCTCCCGACCACACGGGCCCAGGTGGTCCCGGGCTCGGTGGCGGGGGAAGGAGGGTCGGTTCCCCCCACCGATCGCACTTGTGCTATCCGGCTTGGGGGGGGGAGGCCTGATTCCTCCACATGTGCAGGCGCACCTGCAGGGGGCGGCCCTCCCCTCCACTTGGAGTGGTGAGTCGCCAGCGCCGCTCTTTTTCTTCTTGTTTCTCCTCCGCTTGCTCCCCCCCGCCGCCTCAGGCCGTTTGGCCCCGGCGGAGGTAGAGGTCGCGGAGGACTTGTTCGAAGGGGGAGGGTCGGGGCGCGCTACGCGACTCCCTTCCCCTCCCCCCTCCCACCTTTTTGTTTCCCCCATGGGGCCATGCGGGCCGCCCCCCGGGGGTGATCCCGGGAATGACGGCCCCCATGGCCTCCATAAGGCGGGGAACTAGGGCCACTACAAGGGCCTCTATCTCCCCGCCGCTCAATCCCGCGACCGCAGGGGGCGCATTGTCACTTGAGAGGAGGAGTAGTCCTCCCCCCGCAGCCCCCTGAGGTCGCCCTCCACCAGCTCAACGGGCTGCGGGGATTGCTCCCACTCCCGCCGTCACCAGCACTGTGGCCTTCTTCTTCTTCTTCTTGTTTCTCTTCCCCTTTGTTTTTATCTCAGGGAGAGGTCGAGCTTCCCCCTCAACGGGACCGTTACGGGCCCGGAGAGGGGGAGCTTCCCTTTGGGGAAGAGTTCCCTCCTCAATATCTCTTGCCACCTCCCGACATTGCTTCCCGATTAGTTCTTCATCGGGAGTCGGCAGGAGCGGCAGTGCAGACCCGATACCTCCCTCCATCGTCCCCTCCTCCTCACTGGAGGAGGAAGACTGTACGGGCCGGATCACCTTCCTTTTTTTCTTTTTTTTGTTTTGCTGGGAGGGGAGCAGAGATTCCCCCCCAGCGTCTTCCGTCCTCTTTCTCTTTCGGTCGGCGGACGAGTCCCGCGAAGTGTGACCCGTCCTCCGATCCACCTCCATATTCGGAGGCACAGGCTGCTCGATCTCCATCATGGATATCGTGGTTGGTAAGCTGGAGGGGCCGGATGCTCGGGCCCTCTCCAGCTCGCTGCCAAGGCGGTCGACCTCGAGCCGAAGCAGAGCGCCCTCGACTCGTAGGCGCTCCATTTCGGCCGAGGCCGCCTCCTGTTCCTTTCTAGCAGCCTCGCTCCGCTCAGTGCCACCGATTATCTCGGTCCTCTGAGCGAGAGCGAGGCTGCACGCGGCCATTTTCGCCGCTGCGTCCCAAAGGGCCCCCTTGTAGGCTCCTTTCAGATTCTTGGACCGCTCCGCGACCTTTTTCATCTCGTTGATGGCCTGCAGGGCCATCGACGAGACTTCAGCGGTCTGTTTTGACCGCAGGTCGCGGAGGATCCTCCCCTCCTCTTCCTGAGTACGGAGTGCCCTCTGGGACTGCGGGCGGATGTTGTGGTCCCTGATCTCCTCCACGCCCACAATCGCGTCGCGCTCCTCCTTATCTCTCTTTCTATACGCGAGAGCGGCCGCCGTGTGGTCCCCTGGACGGGAACGCACGACGGGCCGCCCCCGCCCATCTTTCTTGGCGAACCTTATAGCGTTCCGCTCGGGGGAGCCCGACCGCGAGCTTATGTCGCCGTCACCACTCCCCGCGCCAAGGTCGCCCTCTCTTTCGCTGCGGGGGCGCGACGAGGCCGACGACGACCTCGTTCGGCACGCCACATTTTCATTGGGGCGCTTCCTCGCCCCTGCCTCCTCAATGAGGCCACAGTTGGCCTCGTCCCTCCTGGCTGAGCTGGTGGACGACTCAGCAATGGGCGTGTTACGCCCATCGGAGAGAGAGGCATACGCCTCCATCTCCTCTTCCTCACCTCCTGCGACGTCTTGTTGATTTTTTAGGTTTAGAGTCATCATTCTGTGGTTGCCCACCCCTTTTCACCCGGAGGCTTACAGGGCGGGCCATGAGAATTGGAGAAATTACAATCCCCCCAGGCGGAGCCCCACGCCTGGGTTCGGGCTAAATACACCCGGGGTGCGCCAGGTGTCCCGGGGTGGACCGCTCGCGACCGGCTAACCCGCCGGCCACTCATCCCATCGCCGCGGCTCCCAAACTTAGGATTGGGGGGGTTTTTTATAAAGGTCCCCGTCCTCGCGGCCCAGGCGTTTAATCCAAGGCCCTCGTTCCCCCAGAGGTTCGTCATAGACATGACATAACGGCCTCCGGGGGTTTACGATATGAACAGGTCCGACAATTGCCGGGCCTGCGCTGTAGGGGTCCTGGCAAATACCACGCAGACCCCTAATGCTCCCCGTGCGCAGCTGCCCACACGGGGGGGCCCTCACGGCCGGCCGCGTCGCAAATGCGATCGTGGCCAGGAGGAGTCGCAGGGGTGCGGCGCCTCCCCACTACTGTGGGAAGGGCCAATGTACCGGTCCCTGCGACTCCACCTCCCGTCCCGCCGGCCCGGAGTTACCTCCGGGTAGCTCCGACGGGATGGCCATCCTAGGGTGCGCGACCCCGACCTCGGAATATGTCCGAGCGGCCCGCGCACCCCACCACCCCCCGGGTTGTCAGAAGCTACTGACGTGCAATCCCGGGTGTGGGTTCCTCTCCCCACCCTACCCAGGCCGAGGCCTGAGTAGGGACAGATCGAGGGTGTCCCACACTTTCAGCTGCCAGACCGGCGTGCAATGCCTACTCATGTGGGACCTTCTCCTCCCCCGAGGCGGGAACTACCCGTCTCGAAGATCTATTTACTGATTTTAACAGATTGACCTAAGCCATTTTAACGGGTGGCGCCGTTAAAGTCAGGTCGAAGTCAACTTTGCGTTTTTAAACAGAAACATATATTTTTTATTACGGAATTTTATTCTACATAAAAAAACAAACAACTTTTATTTGAAAAAAATTTTTATACGACTTCAATTTTCTCATATTTACGGAAATATCTACAAAATTATTGGTTTCAATAATTTTTATTACTCGAATTCTATCAACTTTACCGAAAAAGTGCAAGAGATAAATATTGTTTATTTTCTTAGAAATATCATACTAAGAAATACTGAAAAATTATTAGTGATTAAATATTACCAGTAATTCTGTAATTTTTTGGCCAGTACTTAATTTCTGGTGAATACTGATAATAAAATCAATGTTAAATATTGATAGTAATCAAATACTGAGAATTATTATGCGAAGGTGAAAAATGAGAAAATCAAAATGTTTACAGAAATATACTTATATTTCTAATTTTCTCATGTCTCATAAACTACTAGATATCGAAGGTTGTCAATACATTCCAAACTTTCATGAATCCTCCTGCAATAATTTCGATCCCAAGCGGATATACCCCGCTGGCACCTATCCATGTCTTGACCGCATTAAACTGTTGCTTAACCTGACGATCGGCGCGCACGCGGTGATTCTGATGACTCCAACGATGTTCTTACAATTCAGGCTTATATAATGTATCCTTATATTGTTCACAGTATATTATAACATACCTAGCAAACACCAAATAATAGTTATATAATTTTTACTTGTTGTTTATTGGATAATTTGTTGATAGATATTGAAACAATGCAACATTCGATATGCGATGAATATTGATGTAATGTAGTGAACCAGTGATAATTACTTTTACATTTTTAACAAAATGTTATAATAATTAATCCAAAAAAAAAAAATTAAAAAATCCAAGAAAATCCAAATTAAACAAATCGAATTACTAAATTTTGAGAGAAACTTTTAAAAAATATTATTTAAAACAATAGTGTTGTTTCATCAAATGACATGGTTTCCTTGAACGAAATAAAAGTTTTATTTTCATCATTTTAAAAAATGATATTTCGTTTAAGAATATAATATTTTAATAAAAAAAAAAAAACCACAAAATTAAACAAGTACGAATATTAAATCTAAAGAAAGTATTTTCTCCGAAAAAACGGTATAAGAAGTATAAAAAATATGCAATAAGACAAATTAATGATTGCCACTAACGAGTGCTATTCTAAGTACTATTCTATAAATATTATTGATGTAAAACATTATTGAATTTGAAATACAAGTAACAAAAATAACTAGTAAATAAATAAAATATATTATATTTGTAATATTTTTTTAAATATTACTGCAATATTGCTAAAGTAATATTGCAAATTAATGTCACTGCAAAGTCTCTGCAACATTGCATTGCAATATGCAATCTTGCAACGTTGTAGCAATGTTGCTGCAAGCTTCTGTGCTGTATGGGCATTGCTGAGATTCGAGCCTGGTAGACTTCTCCCAGGTAGCAGACACGTCAAAATGACATCCAAATCTAAGTAAATTCAGGATAAAAAATAACCAAGGAATGATAAAAAATATCTTGAGAATATCGTCAAAATGATAGTCTAATGTCACAGATTAATGACGACATTTTCGACGACTTAATGACGTTTTATGACGTCTCTAAACATCAATAATACATTTTTAAGACGTTATACAGAAACGTCATTAAGATGTCAC